CAGATGGCAAAACAGTCTGTGAAGCAACAAAGCCTGGCTAACAGGAAGCATTACGTGGGCAAGAGAGTCACATGGCAAATAACAGCTCAGGGGCTCCCAGGAAGAGAAAATGCCTCAAGGAACAAGTGTACCAAGGCTTTGCATATCAGAGAAGTCTTTGTTAATTTAGACTTGGCTTCCTGAGGCTTTGAAGTAGTGCAGGAAGGAGCAGGTAAACTAGACGACTTATTTCAAGAACAGTCAGACCCCTGTACCTCTACTATTCTTGTAGAAAGAGTCTGGCCTCTGACACTCACGCCAGACAGCAGCGTACGTACATATAGTTATTGCTAATGTAATGATGTTCCTCTCTGATGATCAGAAAGCAGTGGAATTCACAAATCCCTTCAGACACCAAACAAGCACCTTACCTCCAGCTCACAGAATAGCACAGGACTGCAGTAGATTTCTCCCAGTTTCCAGATGGCACTCATCTCTATGCTGCAGCAATTCACCCTGCCAACTACAGAAAAAGTTTTCCCACATTACAAGCCCTATAATCAACATTCAGTGAAGAAAAGTACCAGGAAATTCCACATCCACAAAATGATCCAGAGGTAATTTTGAGAGCACCGTAGAAGGTAAGGCAACAGTGAGCAGTACAAACAGAATGGTACAAGATTCACAACAGAATTAGCACAGAAGTCTTTCATAATACTGAAAAAAGTACCGCCACATTACTGAGTACTGTAACACTAACATTTTGGATATGGGATCAGCACACTTAGCACAGGCAGAATCTTCCACTCGTTAATCAGAAGCTCTCCTGGCTCGTGGTATCACAGTGTGGTCATGTCTCCGAGGAATTCACTCTATCAGGAGAGCCATAGCACAAGACAGTGCTAAGACTCTTCACCCCAGAATTGGGCCTCCTGACCCCCAAATTCCAGGGACACAGCACCTCTGTTCCAACACTGAGCAGTATGGCCTGGCCCCTCCAGCTCCTCAGAGCTGAAGTAGGGAGGGTATGCAGGAAAACACCCTCTCTGCAGGAGAGAGAAAAAGAGGGAGAGAGAGAGAGAGAGAGAGAAAGATGAGAGGCGCAACAGAGCCAGACAGTACACAGCAGGGATACCAGTCTTGTATTAAAACTATACTTAATAGTTTAGTAGCTCATCCATTTAGATACATTTTATTACCACAGTATCATATGCTCCTCACTGCTCATTAAGATTATTATTAAGTCAGATCTGCAAGAGCAGATAGAACAGACTTGGGCACTGCCACAGGAAAAAAATAAAAATCAATAACACAAATCATATTCAGGGATTAGGGACAGAAGAGACACGTGACTGGCAAAAACAAAAGGGAGAGAGCAAGTGAGCATGAGAGAAGAGAAGCATGGAAGAAGGTTCTCTTCTCTTCTAAGAAAAGAATAAAAAAGGCAGATGAGTTCAGATACAATTTAATCAAAGCTTTCGACAAAGCTGCTGGTTTCCTTTGGTTTGTTTCAAATTAAGTCACTGCCTTGTTTTAAGGAAAGCAACAGTGAGTTGTGCTGCTCGGAGAGGAGGAAGAGGGCAGATGCCATACATACCGCCAGTGACAAGAAAGCATACTTTCCCCAAGAAGAAGCTGGCATCCACATAAGCTAGGGAAGCTTCAACATTCTTCAAGCTGTCAGAAAAGCGCAGATAATCCAGTTGGACAGGGAGGTAAAACCAACGCAGCATAAGGACAAAGGGAATAACTTTCAGAAGCACAATTGGAAAACCAATTATGTTAACATCTGCTGATCTATGAGCTGGTAGAGTTATGCTCTATGCTAAAAGCAGGGCATCAGAGACCTCTAATACCCACAGCTGTTTAATAATCCATAACTTATGCTTTCTACTCAAGACTCAACAGTTAGGACTTAGTTTGAACGGTGTCCTCCATAACTTCCAGACACCAAGCATCCGAATTCATTAACATCCAATGAGACTTCAGCGCTACTTCGGCTCTTTCAGAAGAGCTAGCCCACACATTTCTGCAGCACCATCTGTGCTGTAAGTATGCAGCTGGGCCTGTCATTTTTGGTAAATGAGAGCCCAGGATCATCAGTCACAAGTTAAGTAATAAAATGCTGACTTTTGTGCCTTAGCAAGTCTTTACTTATGGCCTGGGGACACAAATATCATTTCTACAAAGATGAGCACAAGATGAGAGAAAAGGGATCAATCCCTGCAGACCTTTCTCTTTTGCCTAGAGATATCCATAGTGCTGATCCCACTTGACCAGCAGTATCAGTGAATTGAGAACACAGACGCAGCAACTGGGTGGTTATTAGGTAGCACTGCCCAGCGCACATCAGCCATCTGCATATTACAGAGCTTAACAGCACATAGTCATTTCCATCTAATTTTACAGACAGTGTCTTTCCAAAGCTCAGTTCATATCACCCCATATCTGGATCCAGGAATAAATTCTGCCTTCTCTGCTGTGGCAGCTTAGTGCACAACAGGCATGTTATTGGACAGAGCAGTTCAGTCCTAATCTATTCCTCGAGGCAATATATATTACTGAGTATATATTACTGAGCTGTTCTGCCACAGCAAGGCTTGGGTTTGAAATCCACTATGCAGCAATTCCGACAATAAAAATGTAGAATTAGCCATCAATCTAAGAAAGAATATCCATTTCCCCTCTCATATTTTTGCCCTTCTTTTACCTGTATTTGCTCTTGATGTCAATCATAAACACAATCATGTCTATCCTGGGCCGAAGGTGATCCCTCTCTGAAGGTAAGGGGAGGGATGTAGCAAGGTGACTGAAAGATAATAAAATTTGTCAGTTTAACCAAAGAGCTTGGCAAGGCAGCATCCACTTAACCACAAGCACATAACCACTGCAGTTCATCATGTAGAAAGTTACCAGGAAGCCCACTAATTACTAAATATGTGGGCACTGAAGAGATACTGTGAATCTTTAAGTGATCTTCTCTTAAGCCTACTCATAGTTGCTGACAGCCACAATGATACTTGCTAGACGAGGTTGTTTATAATGGGAAGCTTATTAGAGCATAACAAGACTCACAGAAACATTTTCTCCCCACAGATTTGTATGGCAGTCATTTTATTTAATTGTTAAGAAGAGTCCTTTCTAACAAAGTGAACCCAAATGCTTTACTGGTATATTTTGCTGCCAAGTTTCAGTTAAAATGCATCAGTGCTTTCCTGTTACATTCCAGAGATACTGCTCATACCCTCACACAGAAAAGGTGTGACATGTTCTCAGGTGTTCATGTTAGAGAAAGGTGTGTTGTATTTGCAAAATCTTAAACCAGAAATTTATCACTAGTATAGCTTTATAGAGGAAGTTATAACTCCAAAAGAGCTTCTATTATACCGTTACCCCTCTTTTTATCCCTTTCACTGTGTCAGAAGTTACTAGGTTAGGTCAGGTGTCCTACACAATACCACCACGGCTGATACAGCTGTTGGAAGAAGAATTACAGGATGGGGATTTTTTGTCTCTCTTCCCACTACCAAGTAAAAAGAGACTTCAGTACTGCATATCTGGGCCTTCCACAGGGAAGAATATTATCAGCACCATATTTTGGGAAGATCATCTGAAAAATAGACTGGACAAACAAAAATCCCAGAATTTCAGTCTCTCTCACAATCCAAGAGAGAAACAGTGATTTTGATCTCCTTGGGGAATATTACTTTTAGCAATTCAATCTTAAGGACTTAATAGTTTTCCTCAGCAGACACAGACCACAGTACACATTCCCTTCCATTAATCATATGCAGTTTGTAGTTTTGTCTATAGTCTCCAAATAAAGGTGTTTTGTTTCCTATAAATAAAGAAGGCACAATTTAACAAAACATTCCGAAACTAACACAAGATATGAACAAAGCATGCTTGAAAGACACATTGCAACACAAACAAGCTTATAAATTAAAGGTGAAATTTAGGGAGAAGCTGTGGTGAAAGGAAAGTATCATATCTCATTGTCTGGGAAAATCAAACAAAAAACCCTCCATGATTTGGAATTCTACTATATTTAAACCAACATCACTAGATGACGTCAACAGCCTCCAGATATGCACTGCAGAAGCTTTTTTTTTTTCTCTTAGTGGTAAGAGACACAAAAACCCCAGGCTTGCAATTCTCCCAACAGCTGTACCTGGCAGGTAGACTTGCCAGACAAGATACCATATTTCTTTGTAATGTTTATAATCCCAAAGCAACACAGTCAGAAAAAACTGTCATGGACTTCTGCTTCCCTAGTGATAGTAGCACAGGGCCTTATCTTGCTCTGTAGCATGAGCATAAGTTTCCATGCCTTTGGGTAGTTTTCCAGGTGTAATACCAGTAGCCATCTAATTCTGGCAGTTCACAGCTCAGGAGAGGCTGCAGGATTTGCATAGAAAAATGAGCGATTAATTTTCTATTAGCTAGCACAAACACCCAAGATGCCATGATCAGAGAAGTACAGTTGCTCTAACTGGCTAGTAGAGCATTAGCTCGGGTTTGCCTTCACTGCATAGCCTTGGATTACAGCAGTGAAATAACACAAACACCTTCTGAAGAGCTGACTAAACTCATTTGGTCTTGGTAAGAGAGCTGTCAAGGACATTATATCATAAAAAGTTAGTTAATCAAGCTTTCAAGACAGGACTTGTCACGCAGTTAAAGTTAATATTTCAAATGCATCAATAGCTCGAGGAGGAAAAGCACGTGCGTGCATACAAAACAGAAAATGGCTACGAAGAGCACCAAAAGTAATGGACCTCTTTCAGGAAAACTTGTTTGGTTTCAAGTAGTTGCAAGCATTGTACTTGTCCTATTTTGTCCCAGGATGTTTAATTCCTGTATATGCCTGTCTCCCAGGAGGAAAAAAAAAAAAAAAGTATCTGTGCTCCTCTCATACCCTTGCAATTTAGTAATCAAGCATCTGTGCAACATCCAAAGGGCAATAGTACACGCATAGCGAACATGCTGAGCGTGGGAATTATTTCCACCCCCATCTCTAACCGTGCCCAAACCGCCTGCCCTGCAGACAGAGCTGTTCGCCTGCTCCAGACGCCTGAGCCTGCCCCAGCCCCCTGCCACATCCGCGCAGCAGCACACTCTGGCGTTAAGAGCAAGTTCTCTCTTTGCGACGAACGCCCCGCAGTTCCCAACCACCGCCACTTGGGTAGAACCTGCATTTATAAGCAATTCCCGTGCGCGTATTTCTTAAGCAGAAACTTTTCGTGACTTCGCATCACAAACGCTGCTTTGGCTCCATCTCTCGGAGAAGGTGACAGAGGACCCGCGAACGATCCCGTTACGGGCCTGCGGCCGGAGCAGCAGGTGACGCATCCCCCTTCCCCACCACTCACATATTGATCTTGAAGTTCTTCTTCTCTCGGAGGATCGCCTCCGCCAGCTTCTGCTGGAGGC